TAATATGCACATATGTAAATTCTGTTCTTGATTATTCAAATACTCTATTCTGTCTATTGTTGAGTACTTGGAATTTGTTTATCAAGATGTGTGTGCGGTGCTTGTTCTCATGGTGTTATGCTGTCTGTTCTTTATTGCTGCTTGAGGTACGGAAATCCTACCTACCTACCTACCTACCTACCTACCTACCTACCTACCTACCTACCTACCTACCTACCTACCTATCTCCTACTCCTGCTGCTACTACCACTACTACTACTCTACTTTCTGGTGTTCCCGTTAGGGGTCGCCACAGCGAATCCAATTCGCATCTGGCATGGTTGTACTCCAGATGCCCTTCCTGACACAACCCTCTCTATTTCTGCTGGCTTCGGACTGGCGCAGAAGTCACTGATGTCAAACCCCTGTGGCTAGATACACAACCACTCCTGCGGACAATGTAGTCGCCAAACAACCTAAGCTGTATGTCTTTGGACTGTGGGAGGAAGCCGGAGCATTTCTAATCTCTCAGCTTTAAAAACAAAAAAACAAAAAAACTCACAACTTTCCTGAAAATAACACACAGACGACAGCATGCAGAGGGCCTGAAATTAATTTATTATGAAAAATTAGAAATATCAAAGCCCACAGATTACAAATGGACACAAAGATTTTATTGTGCTATGATTACAAAGCAAATAAGGTACAGATTTTAAGATATGGAGATACTATTGAACAGAATTTCTGATACTATTGTTTGAGTCATCATTAGTGTGGTCAAATATTATAGGTAATGTATGCAAAGTGTGACAACTGTATTCATAGTTTATATTCCAATTATGAGTAGATGCAGTGTCACAGAAAAAAAGGGGTCCACTGTGCTCACTTGAACTGAGTTATCCTCTGCGTCAACAGGTGTGTACTGTGCACGTGTGGCAGAAAGCAGCAGAATTACAGATCATGGTGTAGTATCTCAGTCTAATATCCCCTCTGAACTGCTTCTTGGGCTCAATGCGCATGTCTACGAATTCTTCTGTGGTACCTTAATGGTCACCTGATAACACAGACAAAAAGATTATGCTCAAAATTTTAAAATGTAAAGAATAATTAGTCACCATGAATCTACAGTGGGTACGGAAAGTATTCAGACCCCCTTAAATTTTTCACTCTTTGTTATATTGCAGCCATATGCTAAAATCATTTAAGTTCATTTTTTTCCTCATTAATGTACACACAGCACCCCATATTGACAGAAAAACAAAGAATTTTTGACATTTTTGCAGATTTATTAAAAAAGAAAAACTGAAATATCACATGGTCATAAGTATTCAGACCCTTTGCTGTGACACTCATATATTTAACTTAGGTGCTGTCCATTTCTTCTGATCATCCCTGAGATGGTTCTACACCTTCATTTGAGTCCAACTGTGTTTGATTATACTGATTGGACGTGATTAGGAAAGCCACACACCTACACCTGTCTATACAAGACCCTACAGCTCACAGTGCATGTCAGAGCAAATGAGAATCATGAGGTCAAAGGAACTGCCTGAAGAGCTCAGAGACAGAATTGTGGCAAGGCACAGATCTGGCCAAGGTTAGAAAAAAATTTTCTACTGCACTTAAGGTTCCTAGGAGCACAGCATAGCAATACTTTATCATGGCAGCAATTGTGTAGCTGAGTTGTGCATTGCAGTGACATATTGCATTGGTACTAACCTTAGTAGACAGTAATGGAAGCAATTAAGACTACTATGGAGCAAGTTCTGTCTTTAATGTCAATGATGTGCCACACATCGTAATAATAATACCTGAAACCAATACAAGTCATCACTGGACGCCTGTATCACAATGTACTGTACACCGCCATAACGTATGCACAGACACTGACCAGACTCTGTCTTCTGTTTGAGTGTGTGGTCTGATCTGTAGTTTAGTCAGCTGCTGGCACCTCCAGCCTGCTGCTGCTCACCACCACATGGCTGCTGCCTGCAACCAAAGTCCCACTTTACAGTGACAGAGGGAGCAGCCTGTGCACTGAGGGCTAATGATGGGAACCACTTCCAACACTTCTCAGCCTGTAGGTCAGTGTATGAACGTGCAAGTCACTCACATAAGTTTGCAAGGGTCCATGAAGGAATGGGTCTTTTGTTTTCTAGAAATTTGTGTGTGCGTGTTTTTTTTTTTAGGGGTGTGGGGGTAGGGGGTCATAAATAGAACCGTCATTTGCTCAAGTCTATTTAAAGCCCATCGCCTGTCAAATGCTTTGAGTTCCTGACATCCGGTGGGTCAGTTTGTGCCACAATTGTTTTTGTCTAGGAAAGAAAGTGAAATCAGATTAAGCTGCTGCAGGTCAGTAGCCTCCAGATAAAATACAGTGTCTATAATTATAATTACCACAAACATTTTACCGCAGGTGTCACGTCTGTAGCCTACAAGTGATTAAAGTGCAATCAACCTCACTGTTAATTAAACGAATGCAACATGTTATACTGCAGTATCTAGGCCCAGCAACATCTATGTGACACTCCCATCCAAAAGCTGGAAGAGAGCCAAAGGTAACCACCTGACCCACCTTTTTCATTATGCCCGTCTTCCTCTTGCTAAATACTTGTATTAAATTTCGGTTTTGAAAGCAATGAATCCATCTTTAAATTTGGTCAGTTAATTGATAGTTACATTGGTATTTTCTCACAATTCAATGCAATATTCTAACCAAAATCTTTTTCATATACACTATCAGTCAAAGGTCTGGACACACTTTCCAAGTGGGTTAAATAGGAAAGTGTGTTCAAAGCTTTGACTGCTAGTGTACATTATTCTATTCAGTCTTCAATCCAGGTGAGGTTAAAATGTTTATGTTCTTAAATTAGTTTTACTTTCAGTGTTTTGAATTAAGTTGTACATTTAAAAGTACGTTAAGTACAGTTTAAAAGATAAGGCAGAAAATTTTCCACAAATCCCATACAAAGACAAAAAAAAAAAAAGAATTTCATATTCAGGAGCTCTAAATATCAGTGAGCCACACTGCTACAGTGCTACACTGCTATAAAAAATGTCTCAAAAAAGATCTCCAAAGCACTTCCTGCTTCATGTGTGCACACGTGTGTGTGTGTGTGTGTATGCGTTCAAACACCAACACAAAGGAGAAACAGCTCTCACTGAATGGTCTCTGATAAAATGCTCCTGTAGACCCTTAGCGCATTAGCACCAGTTCTCCTGTTTGATCGCGAGTTACTACACCTACTACAGTCTACAGTTTGCTAGCTAGCTAGCTATGCCTTCACCCCAGATATGCATCTTTCCTCCCCAGTGTTTTAGAGCAAAGAATATTAATTTTTTCATGGTTTTGAAAGCTAATTTTATATACTTGATCTTTTTAATCATTCAGATTTGTCTGGGCGCTTAAGAACACATTTTCCTGCTTGTGTGACAAACTCGGAACACATTTACTTCTACTTTACCCAGATTTTAATAAGTTATTTTATAATATAAAAGTGGGTGTATTTCAGATTTTGACAGCTTTGCTTGGAACCTGATACAATCAACTACTCAGTTGCAAAAGGTCAAGATGGCAGTTGCCATATTCACAATATTTTTGCTTCACTTTTGGATAGTGAAGGGAAGCGGTGACGTATTGTCCGTCTTTTATATACAGTCTAGGGTCCCGATTCATCTGATAGGTTTAAATTATATGATTGTATCATTTTAGTAATTACCGTTTTGACTTCTGTGTAGTTGTCCAGACCATACTCTCCTAGCTCTCTGCCATTGCCTGAAGCCTTGTAACCGCCAAATGGTGCCTGAGCCCCAAACACATCATAACAGTTAATCCTATAGAGGAACACACACACACAAAATGATGTTAAACATTCAATAATTAAAGGTTCAAACAAGTCTTCATAATTTGATAGCTGCTTGCTGTCAAAAACTCTCCTTGATGCCTAAAAGGGCAGCTCCAAAAGAGACATTTTGGTGTGATTGTTCAAGTTACGGAAGAGAGGTACCTGGCTATAGATAACATGGCCGACTGTGACTGTCAACACAGCTGGAAGCTGTTAATGTTTTACAGTTCGGGCTAAAGATCACAGTCAGGGGGAGCAATTAGGGGTTAAGATTAGTGCCAGGGTTGGGATTAATGTTAATCCCAACTGTTAAGTTTGACCCTCACCCTAAACCTAGCTGTAAATTTGATGAAGTTAACAACTTCTAGTTAATACAGACTACTTCCAGCCATGGCACTCTGCCATCTTGTGTGCAGCCAGGTTAGCTTGTTCCCAAGTGCTTTAAAAAGAAGACATCTGAAGAAGGTGGACTCAAAAAGGTCCACACTGTGTCCAGGAAGGAGCAGGTTGTCAGTCATTATCAACTGTAATGTAATACATACATACATACATACATATGCAGGCACCGGCAGCAGAGCTTGAATGAGGAAAGGTAAATGGAGGAGTGCAAAATGAATGCAGTGGCACAGCATTAAAATTTCATCCTCACTATTATTATTTCAGTTTATCTAACAAAGACAGTGCACATTAATCAGCATTGCTGCACCAGTTATCCAATCTGTAGTCCCTGGACAGATATTACAAAGTCACCCTGAAAAAAAATAAAAGTTAAAAGCACAAAGCTATTAAGATAATTTAAAAACATGCACAACAATTTGAGGTTAGAAGAAATCATCATACTGGATACTATCAAACACATTTGCAAGTAGGTAGGTACTTTATTGATCCCTCAATGGGGAAATTTCAGTGTTTCAGCAGCAGTGGAGAACAAACCCCTCAGAGCCATTAAAGAGGAGTTTCACAGGATTGCAGGTTAGTGGTATTGAATTCGTTTCAGTAAGGCTAATCTGAAAAATGATGATCAGTTAATAACATCTTGCTGTGACCTCTGGAAATAAACTAATAATTAGAATCCCCTTCAGGATTTCCTAATGTGGTTGGATGCATTGATGGGACACATATTCCCATCCATGCACCTCTATGAAAATTAAAATTCAATTCTTATATTATTACATCAGTGTTGGGTCAATTTTAAAAAAGTGTTTTGATTAATGTAATAATTACTCTCCATAAAACGTACTGGATTATTTATTAATCATTACTTTACAAATCCCATATCAACCACAATAGGAATTTTAAGAAAGGGTAGACATAAAACTGCACTTTTAATTCGTACAAAAATCGGTATTTTATGCAATTACTGAAGTTACTCATTCAATTATTGAAGAATTAAGAACCATTCCTTACTTTACAAGTGACAAATAATAACATTACTAACATTATTTAGTAATTACTTACACCGAACACTGTATGATTAACATGTAAACGTACGCATTGACTCGGGCAGCTATTTTCCCCCAAGCTATGCAGTATCATAAAAAGTCCAAAGGAGTG